TCTCTCTCTCTCACCGGTACTGGCAGGGGTGAATGTTGCAGAGACGTACTTGCGGTTGCGGTCGGTTTTCAGGTTGACAGTAACTATTGTTGACAACCTCCATAGTTTTGTTGACTATCCTCATACATGAAACCACTGTCCTCCTCTCTCCTGTACAAAACACACACAGACACACATACAAACACACATATGTGTAAGCGCTATACCTTATCCCACACGTTATAAAATACCAGAAAAGAGCCGGGAATAAGACGTTTTTTATCCCATTTCTGCTGAGGTACCCATAAAAATCAGAGTGGCAGTTTCTTTCTTTTTTCTGTTTTATTGTTATCATCCGAATCTTAATGGCCTAATTTGTTTTGATATATGTCTTTATATCAGTTAGTGCTTGCTGTATTGGGCCTGATATGTCAAATTACATGTGCAAAACTTTATAAATAAAGAGGGGAAGAAAAAAAAATCAGAGTGGCTGAGAGAATTGAGTGAGGGACTTAAGGGGGAAAATGCAACACCTTTTTAATAACAACATATTAACTACTTTATATTATAAAGTAGTGTCTGAGTTTTAACTAGTTGGACTTAGTGCTTAGTGCTTTTCTAGTCTATTGGGTTAGGGTTAGGGTTATGCAAGGGTATGCAAGATGCCACATTCCCCCATTCACATACAGTGATACTAGAATTTTACTCTACATCAACCTTTCTGTTGTACAGTTTATTTGCTGTTATGGATAAAAAGTCTTTTTTGTGTTTCAAAATAGCTGATAACCATTCGCTGATAGCTGCCAACATCTGCGAACAAATATGATTCTAGAAAGTGGTTCTATATAGTGTGTAACTGTTAATATAGAGCGTTATTACATTTATTGCTAATGCAATCATATGGCACACTGACCTCTGAGGATTTTAGATGCACTCATCATCAGAAAGGTTGCTGACCCTTGCTCTAAGAGAAACGTCACTCATCCAAGTGACGTCTTCAGTGTCAGCTAACTGCAGGTTTCCTCATGCTTATAAACAGTACTTTTTCACAGTGACTGAAACTAGCAGCACTGGCAAACAATGGGCTATAAATGTGTTAATCTAAGCTGGGCATTTTTCAAAGGTGAGAAGGCACCTAAAGAAGCTCCAGGCAATGCAGGAGAGAAGAAAGACAACTGCCATCAAAGTGAAAACCCTTAGTGACCCCGTACGTGTCAGGAGTATCGGAACAGTTCAGTTCATTTTGTCTAAACAAAGAGTCTCTGTGGCTTTTCAAACCCAAAAAATCCTTCCAATGTGTCCTGCCTAATTTGGGTCTATCAAGTCTACAGTACGCACATATGTTGTCATGGTTGTGAAGGTTTACGCACTGTCTTGATTTGGTGGACTGTCTGGTTTTGTTTTATTTTGAATTAATTTGTAAATTTATTCGTTAATTGAATCGTGTTTTTGTTTTCCTTAGTTCCTGGTTAAAGTTTTGTTTATATAGTTCTTTGAGCATTTTCCTGATTAGTTATATTCCCAGTTCCTGGTAGTTTGCAGTTTAGCTTCATCCTTTTGTGTCAGTTCCTCTGTATTACTTCATTTTTGTTTGTTTCACAAAGCAAACCAAATAAAGTAGAGAGCTTACCTCCTCCACAATGGACATTACAGTCTTGCCAGCTGCTATGTGTCCAGATGTAGAGATACTCTGGTTCCCTTTGTTCCTCACTGCTCCTGTTCTGACTTGTGTTTAAAGACACTGTGTACTCATAGTGGATCCCATAGCTCTGGTCATGAAATAGGAGAACCTGTTAATATGACATAGAAGGATTGAAAGACAAGGGAAGTTGTACCTATAGCTTACCAAATTTCTCTACATTTATTTGCTTTTCTAGCTGTAAAATATTGTTGCTAAACCCAGTCAAGTGTATAGCTGTTCTTTAAACTTTTCTTTTCTGTTCTTTAAACTTTAATAATAAAGCGCGTCAGAGATTTATAGCTGCACCAGAAGGAAGGTGGCTATTTAAAAAGGTAAAACTCAAATGCCTAATCCATTTCAATAGAGACATAACTTGTATCTTTAAAAAGACTGACAAAATCTGAGGGATGCAGATAGACTGGCTGATGGACTGAGATAGGACCACCATAGTCAAAGGAAGACTGCTGTTTCCGTTTGAATTGTTTAAATATAGTAACAACATGGCTGTGTTCTGTCCTTCTATAAAGTGGCTAAAATGGTATTTATAATTGTTTATTTGCCAAGTTGTCTGTTAGGGTTATAAAACTGGTCCAACCCTGGAGTTGGGTGCCTTTTTAATGCTTGAATGAATAACAGGTGAGCATTAAGTGGCTTAATAACAAAAA